GGTGGTGATGGTAATAATAATAATAATAATAATAATAATAGTAATAATAGTAATTCACAACAAATTCACAAATCACACCCACTTGCATATCACACAAGTAGAATATTATTATTAAGTGATGAATTTGCTAGCTTATTAAATTATGAAATACAATTTTAATAAGGTAAATTAAATAAATAAATAATTAAATTAATTAAATTAATTAATAACAATAATAATAACGATGTATCGCACTGGGATGCTCTAAAGGTAATAGGAAATACCAAAGAAATCATAATATATAGAATTGTTTATCTGTTTTTCTCTATATATTATTATAACTTCCTTTCAACACGTGTCATTAATAAAAAAAAAACAGATAATAACTATTATAATAATTATTATAATAATAAAGGACCAGCAGTTGGAAGTGAAAAAGTTGAGAATTACTGATGGATGGTTTTATTTATTACAAATATGAGATTTATAACTGTCAATGTAATTTGGCAAAAGTGGAAGTTAGCTATTTGCATTGCTTGTAACTTTTACCACTACTGTAAATGTAGAAAAATGACAAATGATGGTCCCCATATTTGATTGGCTAGTTTCTTTTAATATTGATATTATTTGACGTTTTAATGATAAATTTGATTTAGTAATTTTGCGTTTTAATATTAATATTTATGTCCTACTAGTCCTACATCTGCATCTGAATACATCACAATTGATAATACTGAAAAGGATCACGAAATAGATATACAATAGATGAACAAGAAATAATGTTAATGATTACTCCAAATAAGCAAAATAAAGAAGTTATTATTGAATGATCTCCACCTGTTTCAAATAAAGAAGCTTTATTAGCAATAGAAAAATTAAACATATTAATATTCATTGGCCAATAATCTGAAAGTTGCAACTAAGCAACAATGAAATTAAACCATTAATTTGATTTGAATCAACAATCAACATTAGGTAAACTTTTTTTTTGCTAATTTTATTTTTGCAAAATGGTTATATTTATATATATATATAATAATTTTTTTTTTTTTAAATAAAATTTATAATCACGTGATGATGTACAAATTTCCTATAACGAGCTTTTTTAGCCCAGCCAAAGGTTCGTTACAGAGAATGTACTGTACAAAGAATTAAATGTAACATTTAAATTAAAAAAATTGATTTAATAAAATACTTTTTAAAGAAAGAGAAATAAAAATAAAAAAGAATATTTTTTAAAATTTGAAAAACCAAATTCACTTATAAACTTTCTTCACGATCGGCTTTGCATTTGATTTTGGGGTTGATTGTTGTCGTTGGGATTGAAGTTGCTGGTATAGTTGATGTAACCGTTGTTGATGTAACTATTGTTAATATGTTGTAACTGTTGCTGTTGCTGTTGCTGTTGCTGTTGCTGTTGTTGCATATTTATTTGTTCCGATAAAGTCGGACAGTAAAGGTCAAAACCAAGTTGCGTTTCTATATCTTGTTGAAATAATTTATTTTCTTGAACTTGTAAAAATTCTTGTGGAATATTGCTACAACCATCAATCACATAACGAGGTTCAAAGTTATCCGATAAATTTGTTTGTAATACTGGAGTTGCATTTTC